AGTACAAACTGAAAGGAAAAAAGTTTTTTTGTATAATTCGTATGTATGTTCATATGAAAGAAATTGTTTCGAAAGTATTTTTGCTTTCGTGTAATTCAATGTTTATATGAAATTACTTGTTTCGAGAGGGCTTTGCATTCCAGTTTGTTTTTGTAAGCACAAAGCACAAGCTCTACAGGAGAATTCTTGGAGCGTATTTCTGATATGTACCGGTCTTGGTGAAATCGAAAGTGTCAAGTCACTTGAATCCTTCTTGTGAAAGTATCTATAGAAGTGAGACAAATTCCCAACCTTTCTTTGATGTTCCATACTATCAAGTGATGTTCTTGTCTCCAATCAGGCGGATGGCTCCTTCCTGGATGGAATCCAGCAGCTGCAGAGTATGGTTAGGGGCGGAGCTCCATACATGAGAACAATACTCCAAAGAAGGTCTGATCTGAGCTCTATAAAGCATCAAAATTTGCTGAGGTGCGTACAGTTTTCTGGTTCGGTACACGGTTCCAAGCTTTTGAGAAGCAGCCTTTGCAATTTCAGCGCCATGCTTGTGCCAAGACATAAAGTTGTCCATTTCAACCCCCAACAAACTTATCGAAGCAGAAAGCCGAATTGTCTGTCATGACATTATTATATCCGGTTCGGACACATTTATCTTTTTGAAGAAAACCCAAATATTAGAGATGTACTTAAGTAAATGGATTTGGCTCGCAATTACTCACTTCAGAGGCTTTATTATGACCAATATGGAGTTAGCAAGGCCACTCAAGTGACATAATGTCAGTATGTTATATTCAGTGGCTTCAAGCCGGTGGAATATGCAGCTACCTCGGGTGTTCCACAAGGAAGCAACCTAGGTCCACTTCTCTTTAACGCCTGTAAAAACGACATAGTTGAGGTCATTGACATCAACTGTTTGATATACGCGGATGACCTGAAATAATATTGTGAGATCAATGGCATCGAAGATTGTCTTCACCTCTCCTCCAATCTGAAACATGACAAGCAATGGTGTTTTCGCAATAATCTTCCTTTAAACATGGGTAAATGTAATCGTCCATTTACAGTATTCCACTTCAACGGTCTCTCACATTCAACGATCTAGGTGTTACCTTTGACACAAAATTTTCCTTCGTACAGCACATTGAAGCCATTCTCTCTGCTGCAAACAGAATGTATGGATATATTGCACGAATCTCCAGAGATTTCGCGGATCCATCTACATCGAAAACCTTATACTATGCTTTCGTCAGATCAAAATTAGAATATGCATCCATAATCTGGAATCCATCTCATCAGTTGTATACAGAGAAAGTTGAATCAGTTCAACGTCGTTTCCTAAAACTTCTCTCCTATAAATCAGACAATATCTATCCACCAATTGGTTTTTCCCATGATGCATTGTTAGCTAGACATGCTTTGAGTAGCTTGAGTTGCCGTCGTGACTGTCACTCCAGAATTTTTATTTTGAAACTGAATAATAATTCAATTATTGACTCACATATTCTGCCAAAACTCAATTTCAATGTACCTAGACCAACATCTAGAGTAGTTAATACTTTTTATCTGCCAACACCACGTAAAAATATTTCGAAACGTTCACCTCTGCAGAGCATGTGTCAAATGCAATTCTGCAAATTGCCAGCTCGACATTTTCTACTGTTCCATCTCTGAGATTAGGTATTTTTACTTCAACTAATTCTATATGTATTGTTTTCATCTTATAACAACAGGATGGTGCTGCATGCCACAGAGCTTATGTCACATTGGATATTCTGCATGAGCAATAGACCTACTCACTTTGGACCTTACATAACCTAACCTACTGTACGAGTATTATAGCAATGTTATTGAAATATATGTCTAAATGAGCTGTATAGTAAGTGAGCTGAATGGCAGCAATCATATCGGTGATAGGTTCAAATTGGAAATAAGTGAAAAAATATATTTCCATATATCTTCAGAATCTAGAGACAAATCATGGAGAATATCATTCAAATTAATCATATTTTGTGAGTGATACTTGAAAATTGGGATGTGAATTTGAAATAGTAATTGTAAGATATAACCGTTGAATATATCATGCTTGTTATCAAACTCAAAAATTTATATTCAATTTTTCATTTCATTATGAATTCATTATGAATAATCAGAAGTTGAAAAAAAGAAAACCGACTCTTGCTTACCAGAAATATCATGTTATATGGAAAAGAAAACTGAGCACACCACACCACAAAACTTACAAGTTTTTTCTCAGAGTTTCGAATTTGGTTTACCGTTTTATTTAAATGTGCACATTTTTTATTTCTCCCTCCCACCCATAAACCAATTAGGTATTGAGAACATTCAAAAATTCAAATGAGATATTTGTAAATCAGATAAAATTCATATTTATGTTCATTTTGATGGAGGTCCATTTAAAAACCATGACCTTATGACATTAACTCTGAACTGGTTTTGATATATGATCAACAATTTGAAGAATAGGGTCGATGTGAATTACTGAAGATTCCAAAAGTGGGATGAATATTTTGTATTCGCCATTAAAAAACTATACTTTGGCTCTTCCTAACTGGGGTTTGAAGGTGAAGAATTAATTCATTTCTTGCGTAACTGACATTTTTCATATGAAGATATGATGATAAAACAAAAAAATACGTAAATAAATCCGTAAAATAATCAAGGGTCTGGAATGCATCAATTTAAGTGGGTCAAAATGTGTAAATAACCATATTTTTTTTAATTATCCATCAACAGTAAATGAAGTCGATTAAAAATACGATTTGAAAATGAATGCATCAAATATATTTCTAAAGCAGGAAGGAAACCGAAAGTCTTAAAAATATATCTCTTTAATTTGAATGAAAATCATAATGAAAAAAAATTGATTTGGTAAAAGGATCAATTTTTTTTCAAACAATTGTTTTCTCGCCGTCGTTTCGAATTTAGTTGAATTCTTCTTCAGGGCTCTGTAACAATGAATTTTCTTAAACATACCTTCCACAAAACTTATACGATTACTACCGTTTCAATTTTACAAGATATAATTAAACTTCTCACTGAAAAGCAGTTTTTTCGTTTTGATAATATTACTATTTTTAAAACCATCAGACATATTAGATACATATAAGAAAAATTTAAAACATTGCAACAACCAAATTTCCGAGACAACACCAACACAAAACGACATGAAAAAACGAATGGCTTTATCTGTGATTCTGATGAGGTGGTGTTTGTTTTTTATTCAATGACAGAAAGAAAAAGAATACAAAGAGGGTAAATCATTCAGGTCTTTTACTTATCAAATTGAAGTATGCAGTATTAGGGACATCGACATCTCTTCTAGTATTACTTCTAGTATGCACTATCGCATATATCATATGTATCACTTCTCTCAAAAGTCTTTTGGATAAATATAGCTGAACATCTAGTATAGTTGGATGATAAAAAAAATATGTCAATACTCTCTTTCATGTCCAACGAGCGTTGTGAGGTTTTTTATATTCAGTTTTTTAGAGTCTCTCATGTGTTCTGAAACTCTTGTTTTGAGAAAACGTCCAGTTTGACCAACATATCATTTGTGAAAGCTTACACAGCTCAGTTTGTACACTATATTGGATTGTGTTTCTTGTGGTGTTTGTGTTTTTTGTTTCGAAATCGATCAACAACGCCGTTAAACGGAATACTTCCACGAGTCAAAATAGAGAGGAAATTCAAATAGTTGCACGCGCATTTCTACCATACATCCTGAGGGTTACAGACATAATAGGAAAATACTTAGGGAAGCAGAAAATAAAAACAGTTTTCAAGCCCACCAGAGCCACTATCAGCTGCGAGGGTATATCGTATAACATGCTCCTGCGGAAAAGTTTATATTGGTACCACCAAAAGATCCATGGGTACAAGACTGATTGATCATCGGAGAAACTGTAGATTAGTGGAGGAGATCACGCGATACTGTTTGTAGATGTAGTCTAATCAACGAGTTCAAAAACATAAAAAATAGAGATAAAGGTCCTAAAAATATGAGCGATAGCTCATTCGATTTGAAATCACCTCTAGGAAAATGTTGTTGAAGGATTTTGGTGCAGGTTAAAAAATTGCAATTGTTATTAACAAAATAAGATTTTAAAAAGATGGTATTTAGTTTTTCGTTAATAACTCAAAAAATATTAATATTTAAGCAATTTTGAAAAAAGCTCGTTAAAGAGAAGGAAATTTCCGATAAAAAGTCCCGACTCACGAAACTCCATCTCCATTTTAAATCGACGTTGAAAATAGTGTTCAGCGCGGCTGTTACGGCATGCGCGCCCTGCCGCTAAAGAGAGTTTATCAAAAGAAATAATCTTTTTATAACATAAAATGTCATTTTAAAAATCTGAAAAAAATCTAGTATCTTCTTAACACTTGAATGAATGAAGAAAAAAAATTTCATCACCTTGTTTCAAATAGTTATTCAATTGTTAACTAACAAATGTTTTCCC